AACTTGGAGCCTTCGCAGCTGGCTGTTCTTTTTCTGTATGGGGTCAGTCTGCTGGACAGGACAAGGCAGAGTGGGCAAGGATGAGGCTTGCAAGCCCCTCGGCATACTGTTCTTGCTTTGGTCATGGAATGTGCCCTCTTAACTTGCCAGGCATGGATCAAAAGGCAAACCAAGCACTTTTAAATATTTTTCTTTGTGCTTTCTCCAATCCTGTCTTCCCACCACCTACCCCCCAACCCTAAAAACACACCAAAGCTAGCTCCCAACCCCATGGCCTGTCTTGGTGGGCAGAGAGGGATGAACTGCCCGGAACTAGAAGGGCTTCTCTTGGAAGAAAGAACAGTCAGGTGCAGAGTGTGTGGGGAACTCGGCCTCCAGTCTGCCACGCTGATGACTCAGAAGCTAAATATAGCGAGTGATATAAACAGAGCCAGCCACAGAGCAAACACAGGGCCCCCAAGCCCCAGCACAGGCTCTCACGAACACTGAGCTTTTAGCGACCCCTCCCCCAACCCCATTCTTCCCTTAGCAGTGTCCTGCATAGACCTCTTACTCCTGGGACAGAAGGTGGCTTCCTAGGGGCACTTTTCACTCTAGGACAAACCTCTGGGGCCCCTGCTCAGAGCTGTTCTTTCTGGAGCCTGAGTGACCTCATTAGCCATGGTCTCTGCTCCAGAAAACCATTTACCAACGTGGGGGCATCCTAATACTCAGAAAGTAATCAGGGACTCCAAGAACAAAGAATCCAGGATGCTGGGCAGAAAGACTGCTAGGTGATGAACCATGCAAATGCCAATCTGGATACAACTTCCAAAAGAGCTGCCTAAGAATTATAAAGTCAGATCCAAGCAAAATCACAAATTCATGGTGTATGTGTGCACACACACAGCAGGCAAGTTTTCTACCACTGAGCTATGTCCTTGTTCCCTTTTTGAGGCAGGGTCTTACTAAATTGCCCTGGTGGTCCTTGAACTTGCGATCCTCCTGCCCTGCTCCAGCCTTGCTAACAGCATGTGTTCAACTCTCCAAGCTATCATAGTTTCTTATTTTTTGCAACCCTGAGCATCAAAGCCTCCAGCATGCTAGGCAAGCCTCTAATACTCACCTGAGCTCAAGCCAATGCCAATAGTGCTTTTATTACAATTCCCAAAGGCCTTTCACAGCAACCCTGCAAAGTTAACCTTGGAACCTGAGGGCTGGACCAGGAAAATAATTTGGTCACAAACACAGATTGTGTAAGTGACAGAAAGGAGAGCCTTCTCAGACCTGTTTATAAGTCTACCATCCTTCCTTTGATATTACAAGTGAAGGTGGTTTCGAACAACAGGTTGAAAGTTTCTTTAGAAGTCATTTTCCAAAATATCTAATTACTATCTAGGGAATTTCTAAATCTGATTTGTTTCTGAATGGAGCCACTCCCGGGCCAAGTAAAAGAACGAAAATTCCAACATGAATGACACTAACCCTCTTTTCACTTACTCAAGGGCCTACTGCAGCTACTTTTTTTTTTTTTTTTTTTTTTTTTTTGAGCTTCTCAACACTGTCTAGAAATATCCCTTCAGACTTGGCCACAGCAGACTTTTCCACAGGGAAGAAAACAAGGTACTGACTGTCCCTCGGCCCACATTGACTGGAGGAGCCATTCACAGAAAGCACTGAGAAACAGAGGCTCTGACCTTCTGAGCAGGGCAGCTGTGAGTCTGTCAGGAACTGACTCTGATCCTCCCTCTCTGCAGGAAAAACTGGAGGGGCCACCCTTTCAGAACCCAACTCTAAGGACATCCCTGTCAGCAAGGTATTAAAGATCCCTGCTGCACCCTGCCAGCCAAAAGGAACAGGAGAGGAACCTCCCGCTGACCCAGCAGAAAAAGGTAGAATACACAGGGAAGTTTGAAAACGCTTTTCCTTAAACTGGACACAGTGGTATATGCCTGTAATCTCCGAACTCAGGGAGACTGGAGCCAGTTTACACTATATAGCTAGACCCTGTGGCACCAACCCAACCCCATAAGGAAGGGAGGGAGGGAGGGAACATTTTACTTCCACTCACTTCACGTCACCTCCAACTTTCTCACTGCTTTTCAAACCCAAGGACCGAGCGGTGAACAGTACCTGATGACTGATGACTTCTGCATAGATTCATTGCTCATGAATCCAGAAGTCACCCTGAACCAGCCCCTTGGGGAACCAGCCTAGTCTTCCTCTTCACCACACTCCTCAGGGAACATGGTGAGGTAGCAAACAGCATAGAGGTTAAGTGTAAGGAATGTGGGCAACATGAATCGACACCCAGGACAGTTTGAAACCTGCGCCCCTGGGCCTCAACGGATATACCCAATCTGCCAGCATGCCATCCTACCTCTTTGTCAAGTCCCACATCTCCCTGTGCAGAGAAAGAGTAACAACAACAACAACTGGAGAACTGGAGGGAGAACTCAGTTGGCTTGGATGCTTGCCTAGAATACAGGAAGCTCCACATAAATGGAGCACAGTGGTACAAATCTTCAATCTCAGTACTTAAGAGGTAGGTCACAAGTTAAAGGCCATTCTCGGTTATGTAGTGAGTTCATGGCCAGCCTGGGCTGAGATTCTACATCATCATCATCATCATCATCATCATCATCATCATCATCATCACTGAAGTCTATTACAAGGACTAAAGGGCAACTAACACTCTTCTGCAATTCTCCTTCCAACCCCTTGGGGGCGCTATGCATGAGATGCTAGCACCTCATCTAGAACTGACCTGTGCCCTTCAAAGAAGCAACCCTAAACTGGGAGAAAGGTCTCAGTCAGCAAAGAGCAAGAAACACTGTTGTGGAATAGAATATTAGTTTAACTATGTAAAGGTGTGTGGCATAATAATTATTTAACTATATATAAAGATATGCTGTATTTGTTTATGTAAAAATGTGTTGCTGTTTCACCTTGCCTGCCTAAGGCACCTGATTGGTTTAATAAAAAGTTGGGCAGCCAATAGCTAGGCAGAGGAAGGATAGGCAGGACTGTTGGGCAGAGAGAAAAAGGGAGGGGGGAGGGCATCCAGCTGGGGCCCAGCCAGCCAGACTTGGACATGGAGGAAGCAGGAAAGCAGGATAGACAGTATGCAGATGAGGTAAACAAGTCTTGGGGTAGCATATAAATTAATATAAATGGGTTAATTTAAGTTTTAAAAAGCTAGCTAGAAACAAACCTAAAGCTAAAACCAAGCATTCATTATTAATAATGTCTCCATATCATGATTTGAGGGCTGGCAGTCCAAGAAAGCCTGCTACAGGAGACCTCAGAATAGGGTCTCCTCCTCTGGAACCGAGGTCCAGCAGCAAGGAGGCCTCTAGCCTGCTGTCCAATATGTCAGGGCTCACTAATGGAAAGCAGACTATCCTGGGAAGCAGCTGCTGAGAGAGACCAGATTATTGTGAATGAAGAAAGAATGTCTTCCAGATATGTTCTAGATGAGGCTAGAGACTACAGCCACTGTGTCTTCCCACCCTTGTCAGTATCAGGACCAAACGCCAAGAGCTGGGTTGAGCCATGGACCTGTACAACCAAGGTGGATTAGATGGGCAGGAAGGAGGCCAAGAGGCTGAAAGTAAGAATCAGAAGGTGCCTATACATGGACAGCAGAGGACTCGCTAAGCCAAGTTTGTACAGTATAATCATAGAGGGAATGGGGACTGTGGCTGGGCCACAGCAATTAGCCAGGCTGCCTTATAACCTACGCACAGGGCCACCCTCTTTCCAAATAATGTAAGGGCTGGGAAAACCCATCAGAAATAGTTGTGGCCCCAAATCTCTCTCCAACTCCGTGGCAGAGATGTATACCAATAACACCCTGTGGCCTGTTCCCAGAAAACTCAAGGTCAACTCCTCCACCCATTGCTGCTGGCAATGGTTTGTTCCCAAGTCAAAGTTATTACTACCAATAACTGCTCTGGTCATCTGAAGTTTCCCAGGTTGAGCCCAGTCCTGATAATATTTGTTCCTGTGATACACATACTCTCTCTCTCTCTCTCTCTCTCTCTCTCTCTCTCTCTCTCTCTCTCTTTCTCTTTCTCCTTCCCTCCCTCCCTCCCTCCCTCCCTCTCTCTCTCTGCTGGGATAGGTACACAGTCCTGTAGGTAGAGTCTGTGTTCATTTCCCTGTGTTGTGGCTTTGCTAGGTAGTATCTATACCAGCAAGGATCCAGCTTCAGGCTCCTCCCCTGCTTTGGCAGCCATCCAAAAGCCAGCCAGTCTGGGAAGGGTTAAGCACCTGGGGGCCCAGCACAGACGGTGGCTGGGCTGTGGAGCAGGATAGCCTCCCATCCATGGCACAACGGGCTCCAGCACGAGCCTGCCAGCCGCCGCCTTTGTTGATGGACTCTGCCACATGCTCGACTGACACGCGATGCTCCGCCCTGGCGGGGCTGGTGCCAGGCTGCCGGCCAAACGCCAGGCGAGCACCCCGCCGCCGGTCGCAGGTCTGGAGAGACTCGGAGGTACAATCTCCAGAGTACTAAACCCAGGTTCCCAGACACAGACAGTGAGGAGTGGCTCCCCAGCTGGAAAGTGTCAGGTTTCAACCGGTTCTACCACTTTCCCCCACTCAGGCCCCATCTCAGGACTGATTACCGGTTTCCCACTGTTCCTCCGCCAGGCACACCCCCAACTGCTCAGTTTCACTTCGGCATTCTAAAGAGACAAGCCCCCAACTTGGGTCTGGGAAGTTTGTCCAACCAGACTACAGGAAGCCATCCCATTGGCAGGGAGGGATAGAAGTATCTCCCACCTCTGGTGAAGCTAAGTAGGCAGCTGGAGCTCTCAAGGACATGACTACTCATCTAATTGTGCCTACCCAGTCCAACATAACGACAGTAGCCAAGGCCAAAACTCTGAAGCACATCCTGAGGCCTGACAACTCCTGGGTTACAGACAAGAGGACAAAGGCAGGCCCTGGCTTCCCTGCCCCACCAGCCTCAAGCCGCCCACCCCATCCCACCTCCCAACCCTCGTGCCTACTTGTTGAATGTGAAGCCGATGGAACTGGTCAGCAATGCACTGGAGCTTTCTGGCGATCTGTACCTCTGCTCGATGTTGCCACTGTCCTTCAGGGGGCTGCTCCCCAAGGGGCAAGCCTGCAGGGAAACTGGCAGGGAGAGGAAGCCTGTAGCCAGCATTGCCTGCAAAGATAGAGGGGTCCACGTCTCAACATTTTCTACCCCTACCCCATCTTCTCCATGTCAATCCTTTCTGGCCAAGACCTGGAGTTACTGGTAAATCTTAGGGCAGAAGGAAGAGGAAGCAGCCTGCCTGCCTTTACCAGGGCATTCTGCCAGTCTTGGAGAGCTGCCCAAGAATATGAAAGCTTGTACAAGGGCTGAGAGTGTAGCTTAGAAGTAGCTGAATATTTAGCAAATGAGGGTTTAGGTTCAATTACACACACACACACACACACACACACACACACTCTCTCTCTCTCTCTCTCTCTCTCACACACACACACACACACACACACACACACACATCCTGGAAAAACAGAAAAGAATATAGACCCTGCCTTCTTCTCCACTCAGTACCATGGCATAGCACAAGGTGCTAATGTGTATGATGAACACACCAATCTCCTGTCATTTATCACGCTATATTTCACCTAAGTGTTATTATTCTGAAGCTCTTTGGGAAAACTCTCAAGAGTTCCTGGGTTGAGCAAAGCAGAGAAAAGCAAAACAAACAAACAAACAAACAAACCCAAATTGTCTTCGTTTTTCTAGTACAGTTAGGGAAAGCTGGGCTCAGCACTCCAAGACCAGAGCAACAGCAGAAAAGTGAGAAAAGTCCTGAAGGCCCACAGAGCAGCCAAATCGGCTCACCGCGTGCTGGCACCAGAGTGGCCGCTGGGGGCGCCAGCCCCTCCTGCCTCCTCCCTCTTCCAGCCTGAAGCAGGCCTCCTCCAGCTTCTTAGACTCCCGCCAGAACTGCTTTTCCCAGAAGTGCCCTATGGGCAGTTCCCTCTGAGATTAAGCGCAGCAGCTTCTCAGTCTGCTCCCGCAGACACAGCAGGATGACCTCTGAGCCTTTACCCTCCCTCCACAGGCCAGTGTGCTAAAAGAAGAAAACAGACCAAGTGTCTAATCCTGCCCTTTTGCCAGAGGAGGGCATATTTCTCATAAAACAAACCATTTAAGCCCACAAATGAAGGGGTCTTGTCTGATTTAGCCTTGGAAACAGCCCCTCTGCTGGCACTGAGCCCAGGCAGGCCCAACCTCTTTTCTCCAGTTCCCCTTCCAAGCCCAGAAAGTCCCAAATGACAACTCAAAGCCACCTTCTGTCTTTAGGAACCTTCCGTATAAGAGCTGGCTGGGCTTTTTCTTGAGTGTCAACAGTGACACACAGTTTAACATTCCCATCCACTTTGGGAAAGACAAATCAGCACCCGGGCCCCAAAGGCAGAGCCACTGAGAAGACATGGGATGTGAAAGACGATCTCTTGCATGGACCCGAGGGTCCCTCCAGGAAGAAGCAGAAAGAACAAAGCCATCTGGCCTTTGGGGGCCCCAAGCATGGGTGAAGAAGGTGGAAAGTTGATGAATCGATCGATAGCCCTGGCTGTTGTTCGGTTTGGGGAAGGAAATAGTGCTGAGCAGGTTTGGGAAGGGAAAGTCCCCTCATTTCCCCCAAATCTCTAAAGCTAAGAACACTCACCGTAAAAGAGTCTCTGGGGTTCCTCTGTCACCCCACAAGGCAGCATAACACCCTGGCTTGGGGAGGCTGGGCTGAGGGTCTGGGTGGCCTTGTCTTCCTGGCTTATGGGCCGGAGCCCAGGACCACAGCAGTGAGTGAGAGGAAACAGCTGAAGCCGACTGAGGGGACAATCCAGCTGGCTCTGGGCAAACAGGTCAGCAGAGAGCAAGCTCCCAGGTTGTGTCCCTGGCTCCCCATCCTCTGGCTGGAACACATCATCTTCCAGCTCCTCCACACACTGAGGTGGTTCCATCTCTCCTGTCAGAGAACAATGGAGGCATCTGGGATGCTGTCCTACTGAGGCCAGACCAAGGATTCCCCTCCCTCCTTCCTTTCCCATTCTTCTTATTTGAGGGAACCGAGTCAGCTTCTGATGATACACAATCTGGTAATTAAACACTGCCAAGGATGACTTTATGGGTGAATACCCATAAAGTGTGGGCCACCCCAATGGTCGGCTCCTTCCATACTCCTCCCTGCACCCACCTTTCCTCCACCCCCTCTGGCCTAGGCTGGCCACAAAGTTTGACACTGAGGGTTGTAAGCAATGGGTAGGATGAGGTGCTACCCACAAGGTACCTGGGAAAATATAAGCAAGACTAACCTCTGTAAGTGACTGTACACACACACACACACACACACACAGAGGAAGAACCTCCAGGCTTTCCCCTAAGTCTGAGCTGAACTCCAGGCTCAGCAGCAAAAACAAAAGCCAGCAATTGTAGAGCAGCCAGGTTCCCTCCTAACCTGCTAAGCCCCGCCCTACTGCACATCTCCAACCCCCCCCCCCCTTGCACAACACAACAAACAGGCTCTGTGGTGTGCTGAGAGTATCCTGGAACAGAGGACTCTAAGTTAGTCACTTCAGCTGCCTGGCTCAGCTCTCAGCACTCAGCTGTCTGCCCACCACAGGTTAATCTTGAGAGTTGAATCAGCCTCTAGCAAAATGTCCTGCTAATTCTACCCGCTAATCTCCATGACTTCAAGTTTTCATCCACGCAGCCTCCCACTCCTGTCGGAGCTGAACCTGAGATAGGTGCAATGTGCCTCACAGAAGGAAGTGAAATTCAGCCCTCTTGCTGTGCTCTCTCTCGCTGCCTACACTGTGGGGGCTGTTTCTTAGTGTTAAGTTCCTCTCGCTCCACCTGACGGCTCAAGAAATTCTGCACTTGGAGTCACCCAGCAGCTTGCGCTTCCAAGCATGCCCGGGGGGCAACCAGAAGCATCGGCAAGCACCTGAATGGTCAAGGCAATGCAAACTCAAATTTGATAATCTTCAGACTCTTCTGACCCCCTGTGTCTTGCCTTTGAAAGATAAGCCAAGCCAAGTGGTTTGTGGGTTTTTAAAGAAATCTTTTTTTTTTTTTTTTTTTTTTTGTCTTTACAGAAATCTCAAGTTCAGAAACCTTCCTTTCCCAAATGTGAGTTCTACGGGTTTCTTGCCTCAGCCGTCCCTCATCACATCCCAGAGCTCTTTGTAGTCTAGTCTCTGCTCTCTTCGCTGGAGACTAATACCATGCCTGCTAGGATGGCAAAGCAGATACCTTTGGATATTGTTCCAATTGGTAAGGGGGAAACTCCAGCTTATCAGCAACAGAAAAATCAAGTTCCCACATAAAAGGACCAAGAACTGTCATCTAGAAAGGGTTCTTCGGTCCTTCAAACCCTTCTCTGCAGGCTGGCAATCCCATCCAAAGTAGGGACCCTCCAGAGCCAATCACGAGTAGGAGTCATTGTCTTGGTGTTTCTTTTGATGCCTATCACTCCCCTCCCCCTCCCAGCAAAGCCCCAAAGTTCAACTCTTTCCTAGACTGGACAGTGGGGGAGGTGCAGCCAGAGGGTGTGACTCTGAAAACGCGGAGACCCCCCCCCCCACTCAGCACAAGAACTGCAGGTGGTTCTCCGGTTGGTGTGAGCCTCCGCCTCCGAGGGGTTCTGGGCAAAGACAAACGTAAAATGGGGGAAAGTAGAGACCTTCAGCTTCCCTAAGCTAAAGTGGTAATGTCCAGACTGGTAGGAAGAGGGCACTTCCTGAGAGCACAGCCCGAGAACGCTTTATTCCCAGCAAAGGGATTAAAGTCCGCTGGAGCCATCCCAGAGCCTCGGAGCTCCAACTGGGATGCTCAATTAAAACTCCTCCTCTTCTTAGGAGATGGCACTAGCCAGACACCTTGAACCTCGATAGTGGCTAAGATCTCAAAACACACGCGCGCACACTCGAGCGCACACACACCTGGGTGACTCCAGGACAGAGTCTCAGCCTCCGAGTCGTGATGCCAGGGCTCTGCGCCAGGGTCCAGGGTGACGAGCACACGGGGGGCTTGGCGCCACTCGATTGGGAAGGAAGGGGCAAACTCCAGCTGTTAAGAAGAGGACCCTTCAGACTTCGCAGGGAGGCAAAATGCACAACTCACTGCCCCACCCCAGAGTCAGACCCGGAGGCCAGAACGTTCTGAGCGTTTGGCAGTGCACCCCAGGGTCACTTGCCCACCTACTCTCAACTCCAAGTCCCAAATGTTTCCCGAAAGCCCCGCTTGGAATAGCGCGCCCAAATTTGTGCTTTGCACCCAGTTCCCACATCCCAGCACCCCAATTCCTCATGGTCACCCCAGATGTCCGCAATCTAAACCCTTCCCGGGCCCCCACGCGCCGCGCGACTCCTCTCCCCACTTCCCGGAGGAGATACGATCCAACTCCGCCTGGCCCCCGGCCGCCCGGGCGCTCACCGGGCTGCGGCAGGAGGCGGTGGCGCGAGCTGGAGCAGCGGCTGCTAAGGGTGCTAGCTGGCGCGGGAGGAGGCCACAGCGCACCGCGCGGTATTGTTTCCAAAATACGCCCGCTCCGGGCATCCCGCAAACAGCTGATGAGGCCCCGCCCCTCCTCGCGTCACTCCAACCATTGACCAATGACAAGTGGAGCTCCAAGTCCCAGGCTGGGCAGCTGCCAGGGACGGTCACTAATGTACAAACCTTCCCTTGGAAACACTATAAGGGGCCGAGCGCATTTCTGACCTTCGCCAGAAGCGCAATTGGAGCGCTGTTTTCAGAAGAGGACACGGTTCTTAGGCAGGCCCCAAAAGCGCAAGAGAGTCCCTCAGTTCTCCACTAGGAGGGAGGACAGGGCGCCAAAGTGACTTTTGTCTACTAGGAAATTGACTGAATTATTGCGGGGTTTCCAGAAAGGCGGCTCAGAAGGAGACTGGAGCTTTCAGCATCTTGCAACCTGTAGGGGGAAAAAAAGAGTTGTCGGTCCCTAATAAAGGCCCGGGGGTCTGGTGGAGGTGAGGGGGAAGCTTCCCTCTCGCCTGCTTGGGCGGGTCTGTAACCAAATGACATTTGGATCCAGCAAGTGCAATAAGAAGCCCACGTCCTCTCTTCAGGACTGTTCAAGAACATGTGCTGAGAAAAAGATTCCGGCAGAAGAGAGATCAAGGAAGCAGCTTAGGCAGCTGACACACCCTGTTGATGGTCGCACCGTAAGACTGCATGGGCCACTGGGAAAGCAAAACGCAGTTCACATACTATGGTCAATACAAGGATGACTGCACATTTCTTGAACACCTACTATGTGTTAGGTACTGGACTTAGTGCCAGACTTCTGGTGCCTGACCTCAGTGAACTTCTACCTACCTGCGATTAATGGAAAGCAACATGAATGGTGTTCAGTTTAGGGATAATGATGGCTGATAGGTGGAGAAAAAAATCAGAATACAGAGATTTTGAGTCAGGCTTAGAAGAATGAGAATTTTTTGTTTTGTTTTGTTTTTCGAGATAGGGTTTCTCTGTGGCTTTGGAGGCTGGCCTGGAACTAGCTCTTGTAGACCTAACTGGTCTTGAACTCACAGAGATCCGCCTGCCTCTGCCTCCCGAGTACTGGAATTAAAGGCATGGGCCACCACCGCCATGATTAAGAATGAGAAATTTTTCATTAAGTAAAATCCAAATAAAACAGCCCAGGCCCAAAAGAGGGCAGGAAGCTAGAATAAAGTACTCAGCTAGAAAGCTTGTCGGAGGAAGCAGGGACAGACCCCTCTACCAAACTACCTAGTATCCTCACCTTGATTTAGGTATGTAAGTGTGGGCAGTTGGGTTCAGGTCAGATTGCAGAGGTGCACCTGGAAAACCAAACTGAGGAATCTGTATTTTATAGAGGGCTGGCAGCAAAGGTTTTGCAGAAGAGAATTTAGGGCAAAACTGAGAGGAAGAGATGGGAGCAAGGAGGGAGGAGGGAGCAGAAGTCAATGAAAGGAACAAATTCCTGCTATAAGAGCTGTCACAGAGGTAGGCATGGGCCAACCAGAGCAGCTGGCCTAAGTAGCCTCTACCTGCCAGTCTGCTTTAAGGTAGATGGAGCTAGTGCTCCCAGACTTAAGTGTCTTTGACCATTTTTGTTTTTAAATTTTTACTTATTTGCTTTGTTTCTTTCTTTATTCCTTTTTTAAAGATTGTTTACTTTTGTGTTATGTGGGTGGGTGTTCTTGCTTGCATATATATCGGTGTACCATGTGTGTGCCTGATGCCTGAAGAGGGGATGGAATCCCCTGGAACTGGAGTTAAAGACAATGCAAATGACCACGTAGATGCTGGTCCTCTGCATGATCAAGTTCTCTTAACTGCAGAGCTTTCTTTTCTCTTTAGGGGTTCAAGACAGGGTTTCTCTGTGTAGCCCTGTCTGTCCTGGAACTCACTCTGTAGACAAGCCTGGACACGGACTCACAGAGATCCAACTACCTCTGCCTTCCTAGTGCTGGTATTAAAAACGTGTGCCTCTACTGGCCAGCTTCTTTTTTCTTCTTTCTTTTTCTTTTCTTTTCCTTTTTTTTTTTTTTTTTAATAGTGCCTTATGTGTAGCAGGCTGACTTCACACTCTGTATATAGTCAAAGATAACCTCCTGATCTTCCTGCCTCCATCTTCCAAAAGCTGGGATTGCAGGCATGCACCACCATACCAGGCTCCTTATGCCTTTACTATCTACTATTTCCTTTGTTTCCTCTAAATCCATCTGAAAGACTTGAAGGATGAAGCAGGTATACAGAGGGCTGTGGTCCATGATATAAGAAAATCCTAATCCCAGGCAACAGAGATGAGGGGAAAGCAGAAGAGAGTCAAGGTTGACCAGTACCCCAATCCTACCAGGAACTGATAGATGTTCAGCAAGAGATGCTATAGCCAAAAGGAGGTACATTATTTCACCAGGAAGCTTGGCCAAATGAGATTGTCAGGGGGTCAGAATGACCTGGGACCCACACCACATACAGGGAGATGAAGGACCAGTGGCTCAGAAAAATATGAGGAATCCACCCTTCTTCCCACATACTGGACCCCTCCTCCTCCTTACATTCATCTTCATCACCGACATCCTACTGGGGCCTATGCCTCTGGCTAGCTAAGTCTTTGTCACTATTCTATTGCTATGAAGAAACACTATGGCCATGGCAACCCTTATAAGAGAAAGCATTTAATTGGGGGCTTGTCTACAGTTTCAGAGGCTAAGTCCATTATCATCATATCAGGGAGGATGGCAATCATGGTGATAAAAACCATAGTAGAGAAAACAAGACTGGCTCTGGCATGAGCTTTTGAAGCCTCAAAGCCCACTCCCAGCGACATACTTCCACCAACAAGCCACACTTCCTAATCCTTCTAGAACAGTTCTACTCCCTGGTGAATAAGCATTCAAATATATGAGCCCGCAGGGACCATTCTTCTTCAAGCCACTGCATGGTCTTAAATAGAACTGAAGGACAAAGCAGCATTCTGAATCCCCTGTAGACCCTGAGAAGTAAGGATTATCCTAGCTTTCTCACTAAAGTCAGCTACTTTACCCCAGGCATGCATATCAGAATTGGGTCATAAGGCTGGGAAGCCAAGAAAAAAGCCAGGATTTACACCTGAGCTCTGTTAGAGTTGTGAACCCACCACCCAAGTGTCTAAATGGTGTTGGTGGTCGCAAGCAAAGGAATCTGCTTCCTTCAAAGGGTTAAAAGTCATGGTGATGTTCACCTGTAATCCCAGCACTAGGGAGACTATAGCAAAAGATCAAGAGTTTGAGGCCAGCCAGGGCTATTCAGGGAGACCCGAACTCAAGGACAAAAAGTTAAACATCACCCTTGTAGGGGAATGTTGCTGGAGACCCAGATGACAGTCTTAGTGAGCCTGGGAACTTGTTAGACTGTAGGAAGCTCAGACCTCTCCCCAGCCTTCTCCCTCAAGCTACTTCTGAAGGACACTGGTGACTTGGTTTCTGGTACTCTCAACCTTTAGGGTCAAAGAGCAGGAGGCCCAGCCTCCCAGCTGCAGGGACCAGAGAAGGGATGTCTGGGATAAAGAGGCCGGAGAGGTCAGGAGCCTCACTCCCCCCACTCACCATTGTCAAAGCGGACCCCCTCCCCCTCTTGACCCTTTCTCCTTCTGCAGCTCAGAGACAGAGCAAGTGTCAGGACCTACCAACTGGGGATCTGGGTTGAGACTCCAGCGATACAGCAGCAGCAGCAGCATAGGAGCAGAGGCATCTGACTCTGAGCAAATATGAGTCACAGTCTCCCTTTTGGACAATTTTGTCCTTACCTTCCCACTCCCCACTCCAATTTATTCTCTGCTGACTGATGCTGGCACTGCAAAGAGGGTCCCCAGAGAAAAGGGCTATCCAGGAGGCTGAGAGGGAGGAGGAGCCTCTGGACAGTGTGGGAAGATGCAAAGAAAAGCACCAGCCTTCTGCAGGGGGCAGGCAGGAGCCCTCAACATTGTTGCACCTGGAAAGCGGAATGAGATGGGTGGGCTCTGAAGCTCCAGGAACTGGATCACTGGGGAGTGTGGTTTTTAAAGCTATTAGGAGTTAGTAGGCAAGCTGTCCTGGGGTTAATGAGGTTTGTAGTAACCTCCAGAAAAGGAATAGATGGGAAACTGATTTATGTAAGTCAGGGTCTGGCTGGGGAAGTCTGTGGTGCTTTCCTCTTGGCTCCCTGCAGGAAGAGGGTGGGGCAAGTAGGAGACTAGGGACCTCCAACGTTAGGGGTCCTCTCCTTTGCCTAGACAGATTTTCTCTCTATGGATCATTCTGTCTGTACACACACACACACACACACACACACACACACACACACACACCTCTTTTTTTCTGAGTTGCAGTGTGTGAGAGAGAAACTGACAAACACAGACAGAAAAAAGTAATATACTAGACAAATGTTGAAGCAATACCTTTAATCCCATTGCATCCCATTGCAGCACTGGCAGGAGGATTGCCGTGTTCAAAGACTACATCAGAACAATTTGGCTTCTGCAAACTGTGCTCACTACTCACTATTATGGGCTGAAGAGGCAGCATCTGGGAGTTCCGAAAGCAAGAACTAAGGTACACTAGATCCAGGACAACCTCAAAGATGGTGCGGAGTTCAGGTCCTGTGCGTTCAGTCTTGCTTTAGTATTTTCAGAGTGAATACAAGTGCACCTTCCCATTTTAAAAGAAACAGAAACAAGTGTTTCAAAGTTAGAGAAAAGCAGCCTTGGGCAATTTTCACTAAGTCTTGTCTAAATTGTGTTTGGCTTTGAAACACCTGGCCTTCCTTATGTTCTCATCAGCAAAGGGAACCCCTCAAGGCAACAGAGATGATGTCAATTGTCCCCTGTCCAAGCGGACAGTTTACTGAATAATATCTCAGGCCAAGTACCAGGGCAGTGTTCTGGCCTGCTCTCCCACCTGCCACCCAGACCCAAGGGAAAGAGCTGGCCTTATGTTCCCAAGGGCCAGAGAGAGCCAATCAAAGTATATTCCTTCTGCTTCACTAATGCCAAAAGGGGCAGCCTCTTTTGGACAAAAGTGTGTTGGTATGTGTCATTACATACTTTTCTTTGGGATTAGCAAAGAA